ATATATCATACAAAGCCATAATGATCAAATAGTATGCCACTGGCATAAAAACAGACATATAGATCAATGGCACAAAAGAGAGAGCCCAGAAATAAGCCCACACATATATGGTCAGTTAACAACAAAGGAGTCAAGAATACAACAGGGAAAGTTGTATTATTGGAATTATTGTATTGTATTACTGGAAAGTCTTCCAATAACTATTAGAAAAACTGGACAGCCACAAGCAAAAGAATGAAACTCAGCCACTACCTTACACCATTCACAAAAACCAACTCAAAATGGATTAAAGAATTGAATGAAAAACTTGAAACCATAAAATTCCTGGAAGAAAGCACAGGCAGTAAGCACATTGATGTCAGTTTTGGTGATGACTTTTTTGATTTGAAACCAAAAGTAAAGGCAAAAAAAGTAAAAATAAACAATTGAGACTACATCAAAACTAAAAAACTTCCACACAGAGAAAGAAACCATCAACAAAAGCAAAAGGCAACTTACTGATTGACAGGAAATATTTGGAAAGCACATATTTGATGAGGTTAATATCCAAAATATATAAAGAACTCATACAATTCAATAGAAAAAAAATCCTTTAAAAATAGAGGATCTGAATGTGCCTGGATGGCTCAGTGGGTTAAAGCCTCTGCCTTCGGTGCTCGGTCATGATCTCAGGGTCCTGGGATGAAGGCCTGCATCGGGCTTTCTACTCAGCAAGGAGTCTGCTCCCCCCTCCTCCCGCCTCTTCTGATCTCTCTCTCTGTCAAATAAATAAAATCTTAAAAAAAAAAAATAGAGGATCTGAATAGACATTTTTCCAAAGAAGATATACAGATGGTCAACAGACACATGAAAAGATGCTCCACATCATTAATCATCAAGGAAATGCAAATCAAAACCACAACGAAGTCTCATGACACACCTGATAAAATGGGTATTATTGAAAAGAAATAAATGTTGGTGAGGATGTGGAGAAAAGAGTACACTTGTGAATCCTTGTTGGGTATGCAAATTGGTACAACCACTATGGAAAACAGTATGGAGATTCCTCAAAAAATTAAAAATAGAAATACCATATGAACTACAATTCCACTTTTGGGTATTTATCCAAAGAAAATGAAAATGCTAACTTGAAAAGACATCTGCACATCCATGTTCATTGCAACATTATTTTTAATAGCTAAGATATGAAAACAACCTACATGTCTAATAGCAGATGAATGAATAAAGAAAATGTAATTTTGTGTATATATGTGTGTATACATAAATAGTTCAGTCATACAAACGTAAAATCTTGCCATTTGTGACAACATGGGTGGACCTTATGGTCATTACGCTCAGTGAAATAAGTCAGAGAAAGACACTGTGCGATCACTCTTAGATGTAGAATCTAAATAAATAAATGGGGATGTTATGAACAGCATGGTGACTATAGTTAATGCTGTATTGCATAAAAGTTGCTGAGAGTAAATCTTAACAGTTCTCATCACAAGAAAAAAATTTTGGTGATGGATGTTAACTGGACTTATTGTGGTGATCATTTTGCATTTATATACACAAATATCTAATCATGTTGTATATGTGAAACTAACATAATGACACCCAATTTTTTAAGAAAATGCTTTTCATGGATGCTGCTACTCCCATCACCGTTGTATTTCTCAAGTCTTTAGTGAAAGGAGAGTCAGTGACAGGTCTTCTTGGGAGACTTTAGATCACCAGGATTAAAATGGTTTGATTGCACATGACAAATGTGGAGTGTGACAAATGTTGGAGTAGTCCAACATTCCTATCACTGTAATCTTTGAATTCTTTTACAGTATTTCAAGGAATGCCTGCATTCTCAATTTCATTTAATGTGGGCCACTATTAAGTCTACATTTCAGTCAACTAATTGAACCAACAAGTAGAATGACTTTTAGCTGTTCACGGAAACACATGGAATCCAGAATCTGTGGCAAGTGCACCCCTATCAATTCTACCGATCCAAAATTGCCCTTCTCCTTTCTCAGTACATTTTCAGTATCCCATACATTTTCCCTCAGGTTTTGCCAATATAATTTAAAAAGTCAAGAATTCTTTTGGATGGATTCCCTTTCTAACTATATCCACCACAGCTCCTCTATGGAATCTGATATTTAGTGTATGGAGGTAATGAAGAATAATGTGGGAAGAGTGGGAGGTAAACTGAGGGAGCTGAATACAGATTTCCAAGCAAGGCAGTTAACAACCTCCTTAGACAGGAAGAGCACCCACTTTGATGAGCAAGGGAGGACATGTCCATTCTTCCAGTTTGCTTAGGGGGTGAGGGTTTTCCTGGGATACAGGACTTTCAGTATTCAAACCTGATTTACACTAGCTTAGGGTATCACATGTCTTCCAAATCCCCCTACCCATAAATCTCCATTCCAAATCAAGGTCCTACTGTTTCTGATCAATATTCTTAAATACAAGACCTGGTGAAAGCTGCAAATGCAATTCCGGGTGGAATCTGGCAACCAGGAGGATCAAGAATTATCTTATCAATTATTTCAGCCTTACAGCTAGCAAGATAGAAAATATTCTTTTGGTAAAAACATAGGCAATTTCTAGTTTTTATACTATGCCTTGAACTGAGGCTGTAAGCCTTTGAGCCTCTATTATCTTTCTTAATGAAAGCATCTCTGTAGAAGCAACCACCTCTTCCCACAGTCCTGGATTTCTTCCCCCTTTACACTGTTTGATGGCAGCAGCCATTTGCCAGCCCAAACCTTCCCATCCTTGGATAATGCATTCCATCCATTTTTTGCTTCATGTTTGTGTTTTTGAGGTCCCAAAGATATTTTGCTACATTAATTTTTATTAACTTTATATTTTTACTATTTATATTTAGCTCTTTAACCTATCTGAGGTGTCCCTTTTTATATGATGTAAGGTAGGGTTCTAGTTTTAATTTTCTCCATGTGGGAGGCCAGTCTTCCCAATTCTTTTACGAAACAACCTATATTCCTTTTATCTGTTGATTTTTTTTTTTTTTTTTAGATTTTGTTTATTTATTTGACAGAGAGAGATCACAAGTAGGCAGAGAGGCAGACAGAGAGAGAGAAGGAAGCAGGTTCCCTGCTGAGCAGAGTCCAATGCGGGGCTCGATCCCAGGACCCTGAGACCATGACCTGAGCCGAAGGCAGAGGCTTAACCCACTGAGCCACCCAGGCGCCCCTTATCTGTTGATTTTTGTGCTGCCTTTGTAATTCACATAATCAAGGGGTCTGTGAGCTTCCATGACTTTGATGTATACAAAAATATCTGGATTTTGGAGGTTAGTATAAGGTAATTAAAATATTTCACTAATATTTTAATATCAGTTATGTATTGAAATGATATCCTGAAGATGTCAGTGTACATAAAATGATAAACATGGATTCTACCTGCTGCTTCTTTTTATGAGGCCACTAGAAATTACACAAGTAGCTCACTTCCTTTTTCTGTTGGGCGAGGCTACTCTACACTGCCCTCTAGTGAAGACAGAGTAGACTATGAAGCAGGATTAAACATGGATTTAGAGCCCACTTCCTTCACTTATCAGTTCTGTGGACTTGGTAGTTCCTTCAAATACCTGCTTTGTATGGAACTTGTAGGGACTACAGGAAACAGAATACAGTAAATACAGCAAATACAGTAAATCCATACAGAAGACTTGAAACCTGGTAAGTAATCATCCAATGCTTATTTCATTATCTTTCTCTGAGAATAAGAAAGTAGTTCATTTATTGCAGTATACAGCAAGTATGACAACACATGCATTAAATGAAGGTCATGCTGAAATTTGTGAATAGTTTTAAAATGTATACCCTGTCCCATGACTGCTGAGATGCAGCATTATAATTTTAAAATATAACAATATTTTAAGGGAAAAAGACAATCATAATTTTATTCATTCACTTTTTCTATGCTTTAATCTTTTGCATAGGTAATACATTTAGTTAGAGCTACAAGACAACATGAAACAGACAAGAAATCAGCATTCTGGATCTTTTCAAACTATACTGAGGAACCTCTTCACTAAATGTTACTTTCAGAAATACTCCCACCCCTTCTATTCACACCTAAAACAATCTGCGTAACCATCAACCTTCAAGAAATCATTTTATACTATAGTTTTTCCTTGAATATCATCTTACACTTTTTAAAAGCTTTACTTCAAACACAAAATCCTTCAAATAGTTCTACAAATAAATAGCAAATGTTATTGCACCTGAGCTTAAGGATTTAAAATTGTTTCCGCTTGTTTAATATTAATTTCTGGGCTATTAACTACTGACAGTAATTAGAATATCTCAATACCTGATGCCAAGATAATTTCTGATGTTGGGGGAATTGGTTACAAAATTTCCTCCAAACTCGGAGTGAGCTCCTCATTACCTGAGCTAATCAAGGAAACACGAGGGCAGCTCACTCATGTGGGAACCCAGCTTGTCTGGCAACCATGCTCTCACTCCTGACTCTGGAATTCTCTGCCCTAAGAGGTCGGCTCCACAGGCAGCCCTTTCTCAAGGAGATTATCTGCTCCCTCAACGCTATGCTCTTCCCACGGCTCTTCCCACGGCTATGCTGAACTGAGAATACCAACCTAGGGACGGGGACCACTACCTGCAAGTGCCTGGCAGCAACAGTGCAGGGGACAGGATTCAGTCCGCGGCAGAAGAAAGGTGCTTTCAGAAGGGATTTCTGACTGAGGACCGAGGTGATAAGACTATGTAACAATGGAGCAAGAATATTAAAATCTAAGGCTGCACAAGGCATTGTAAACAACAGTGATCTTTCTTAGAAATGCTGGAGTTCGGTTGAGCTAAAAGAACTATTGTAATCTAGGATTGGAATAAAAATACCTGAGAAGTTATTTTTCTCTAGGCAACAAAGTAAGTGCTGTTTCTGTTTTTAGCAAAAGTTCACCTATGCCTAAATTCATTATTCTTTATAAAAAAAAAAGTAGATTTTTAATGAAACAGTCAACAAAAGAACTATGGATTTTAATGTTGAGTATATCAATTTATTACTATTTTGGTCTTTCCATTAGTTCTCTATATAAAAATTGTGTGTTTCTCAGTAGTAGGTACAATAGCTTTTAAAGAGAACTTGGGCAAAATAATTAAGAGAGAAACCATAAATAACAAGAAAGTAAATGAAGCAAAATTATCTAGTGTGATGTTTACCCTAAAGTATATTAATATCCTTCCACGAACTTTTATTGTTAAAGTAAAATTCGTAGTCTAATGAGTTATTATAAAAGATCCCAATCTTTAAAAATTATGAAACACTTTAAGATCTCATTAACAGAATTAGAAATGTCAGTTATTATGCTACTGCTCAAGTTTGGTCTGTATTTTCTGGGCCTCTTTAGGCCAAGAATAACAATCAGGTAGAATCTGGTCATAATCAGTATTATACATCTGAGAGCGGACAAAGTCTTCCTTGTTTGAGGGTTCAGGATAAACTGTGGCTGTCTTTTCTTGGTAAGCATCTTTCACAATCTAGGAATAAAAAAAGAATATTAATTACTTTAATGAACAGAGTTGATGGTGAGCACATGTCAGTTTTTATCTGTTTCAAAAAATTAATTCATGTCTGTTTAAAAAATTAAGTTAGATTATAATAAAAGCACACATACACAAAGGAGGTCTAAAATGGAAACGCAATTTTAAGTCCTACAGCAGGAGGAAAATATGATATAAACAATGGAAAGTGAGCATAGAAGAGATGTATCAAATGTGATCATAACAGGTCTTCACAGATAACCCAGTGGTGAAAGTCTCGACAGGACCTGAATGATAATTAACTTGAACTAAAGGTATTTATTCCTGCTTAGTTTGAACTCAACATGCAGTTTCAACAATCCCTATGCTGAACACAGCCTCCTACAAAATGTCCTTATTCATCCCTGCTCACCTAAGCAGCTGGACTATGGGGTCAGTTTGGAGTTTCAATGCTCCTCGCCAGGATCACAGAATCTTTCCCTGTCCTGCTGTCACACTCACCATTCTGGTCCCGGGTCTGGGGAACCCTTACTGCTGGCTTTCTTCGTTCATGGCTGCACCATATGATGACATACTTTTCCTAACACTACCTAGGTCCACATGGTTGCACATTATGCCTTTATTCCTTTCTTTAACAAACAAAAACCCTTTCTCTCCTAATTCCCACAAGGCAATTTCAAACCGTCCTCTGTCAAATCTGCATTTGACTGTTACACTGGAATGAGAACATTCCAGCTAATCAGAGAAAACAATCTCTATTTCCCCTTGAAACAACTCAAACTATGTCCTCTGTATCTTTAAACCTTCACTCTTCCTTTCTTTGAAAAGAATGGATTCTCCTTGTTGTCAAAATTAATCACTCTATACGTGTCTTTAATTCACCCCAGTTGTTTAAAAAAAAAAAAAAAAAGCAATCCCTGGGAGCTATTTGTATAATACAGTTATTTGGATAAGTCTGATTTTGAAGATTATTGGAATGATTAAGTATCTCTTCTCAATGCAAAATTATGCATTTGTGAAAAATTATGGTTACAAAGACTGTGCCATATTATGGAGAAAAGTTTGTGAAAAACATGAACTAGATGTATACACCATGATTAGGACGACATTAGCAAAGAAAGTCACACAAAAGAAAAAAGATTTGAGGTGAATACAAACAATAAAACGGCTTACGTTAGAAAAATAGAGTATTGGGTAGTTTCTTCTCTTTTTCCCAAAGTATCTATAGTGTGTTGTTATTACTTTTTAACAGCCTTTTTGAGGTATAATTCACTGACTACAAAATCCAAACATTTTAAGTGCACAATTAAATTATTTTTAAATGGGCAGAGTTGTGCAACTGTTACCACACCCAGCTTCGGAACATCTCCATTACCCCGGGGGCCTCTGGTGCTTTTTGCAATGGCTGCATTGAGTTTATGATGAAATGCATTGTTGCATTCCTTGACATAGACTGTGTTCCCTCCTCTTTCTGCTCCCAGGACACACTGTATCATGATCTCCTCTCTCAGTGAGGTCTTCACTCTCTCCTTGTCAATGCCAGACTCTGCAAGAGCAGTTTGGATTCTCCTGTTTTCCTCATTCTCCCCAGACTTAACTTCTGTGCTACTGAAACTGCTTTTGTAAAAGGTTCTGGTAACTTCGTACGCACTAAAAGTTCACCTGGGTTTCTCACTACCACAGCTGTGCCTTTTGTAATTTCCACTACCATCGTGACACTGTGTCTTATCTAATTTCTGACACACTGCTTCGTTCTGAGTCTGTTAAAATCCTGACTTCTCATCACTGGCTTCTTGCCTCTGTCTTCTGGACAGAGTGACAAACCATGTTCTATTCTTGATTCTTGCCTGTCTATACTTGCTGTCTTGGTCGCCCCAACCACTCCTGGCCCTTCCCCCATAACCATACGGAAATACTGCCCACACCTTTATATCTAGTGTCTCTTTAAGCTTCAGTCATTTCCATCAACTTGCTGGAACTGTAGGGATTGTATACGAATGTGCCCTGAAACCTCAAGCCTGTGGTCCCCTTAGCCCAACTTCCTCCTTCGACTTGATTCTTTGTCCTGACTTCCCAGTTTCTGTCTCTGCACTCTGCATTTTTCCATTATTCTAGGTATAATATCTGAGTCTTTCTGAACTCCCCCTGAGGCTCAGAAAAGGGTGCTTTTGTACTTTCTCCTCCAATCATAAGCTAACACCTTCTCATTTAAATCTTCAAATTGAACTTAACATGATAATGTGTTGTCCGGGACATTAACAATCCAAACTCCTTAAAAACTAGGAGATATAAATAGTAGAAAATAGGATACTCTTTTGTGGAATCCTAATCAAGCAGATCATCTATAGTTTGAAGTATTATGTGGTTTTTGAAGCATGCTCCCTCCCTCAGTTAATGAGACAAATAATGGTATGGGAGTCCTAAATATGGCATTGCTTTGATAAATTTGTTAATGTTTTTGATTTTCAACCAAAAGCAATTTTGCTCCTGAGGCGACACCTGGCAATGTCTGGAGACATTTTTGGTTGTCACAACAGGGCAGAGGCTGCTGGCATCTAGTGGGTAGAGGCCAGATGTGCTAAACATTCCATAACATCCAGGATAACCCCCACAACAGAGTCATCCAGCCAATATGTGCATAGTGCTGAGGTTGAGAAACCCCAGTTTAATCATAAAACATACAAACATAAACATTACGGGCTGACCTCTGCCACCCAAAATTCATCTGTACTAATCCCCAGTACCCCAGAGTGTGATTCTCTTTGGAGACGGGGCCTTTGAAGAGGTAATTAAATTAAACTGAAGCTGGTTGGTGGGCCCAGACCCAAACTGAGTAGTGATCTTACAGGAACGGTATGTCTCTCGTACCAAGAGAACCAGGGATGTTTGTAACAAAGAAAAGGCTGGACGAGGACAGTGAGGAGGCAGTCATATACAAGCCAAGAAGAGAGCCCTCCGAGAAAATCCAGCCTCCAATCCCCCATCCTAGATTTCTAGCCTTCAAACTCTTGTTTGAGCCATTGGGTCTATGGCTTTTGTTACGGCAACCCTAGTAGGCTAACACATTTATGCAGCAAAAAAAAGGTCAATTTCTCACTCATCTCAATTAAAGAAAATTTCTCTGAGTTTAGGTTCTTCTTGGCTAATTGTTCCAACAGCTCATCTGTCAGCCCAAAAGCTTTGTTTGCCCTCATTGTTTTGCATCCCCCACCTGACCCTGCCCTGCCCAGTATTACCAGTTGTGATCTTGAAGATGCTGTAAGTCAAGGCTACATCAACAAGACAGGGGACTCGGGGTCTAAATATTACTCTACCACATCTGCAGTATTTCGGACACTATCGCAAATGTGATAGGGAAAACAATAAGCAGAAAAAAAAAGATGAAGTGGGGAAACCTAACTGAAATGAAACCCTACTAACTTATTTAGATTATGGAAGAGAAAAGGAATGATAGGGCAATTAATGATTCAGCCCAATTTGTCAATTCCTAGGGATGAAGTGTAGTTACTAAACTCTGCTGAAGCACTGAGTCGCATTTCTCTGACAAAATAAGCTGATACAAATGTAAATCTCCAGGTGTAAGGGCCTATTCAGCCAGAGGGGCCCCACCCTGGTTGAACAGCCATTTTGTTGTTTATGCGGCAAAACGTAAATGGATCCTGCCCGCCCCCCCCCAGGGGAACTTACTTAAAAGCAAGTCCGGGACACTAGTCCCAGGTAACAAAGCCCAAATACAAGGGTGGGTCAGGTCAGGTGGAGACAACAGCCCACAGGCAGGGATGAGTCCGGCCAGGTGGAGACATCCAATCGGGGGGGGGGGGGGGGGGTGCGCATACTCTCTCCCTAGTTACCAAGGAGTATGGGCCCCACCCTTTGGGAGCCTTTTGGGCGCCAATTCTGACCAAGGTGATAGGCTGGTTCAAATGTCTACTAGACTAAATTGTAATTCAATTGATCACTTATGTGTGACCTAGCGTGACTGTGCAGCTTTCTCTGTGTGTTACAATATCACTGGCCACCAGTGTGTGGCCAGACCCAACCACATGGCCTTTGCTCTATAAAAGTTAGTCTGGAAAGCAGGGAGGGGTCGCCCTCTCTGTAAGGGGTGGCCCCGACCAATCTGTTTGACAGTCGGTTTGATTCTTGATGCTTGGCACGAAATAAAGCTTTGCTTGACCTTCGCTTTGTATCAGTCTCGCTCCTTTGACCATGGACCCATTATTTGGGGACCCAACAAAGGAAGCACCTAAAAATGCATATTTAGCAATAGAATGAAGGAAACATAATGAGACCTGAACAAGAGTGGTTTTACCGGGGCACCTGGGTGGCTCAGTGGGTTAAAGCCTCTGCCTATGGCTCAGGTCATGATCCCAGGGTCCTGGCATCAAGCCCCACATCGGGCTCTCTGCTCAGCGGGGAGCCTGCTTCCTCCTCTCTCTCTGCCTACTTGTGATTTCTGTCTGTCAAATAAATAAATAAAATCTTAAAAAAAAAAAAAAAAGAAGAGTGGTTTTACCTTTGCTGCGATTTTCAGAGAAACATCTCTAATGGTGTTCAAAGGAGGATAAAGCCGGCCTTCTTCCAAGTGTTTATCTGATACTTCCTGGGCTATAACCTTTAGAAAAAAGAAAGACAAAACATATTTTATTTAAGTGTAAGTAAATGAATGGTCACATGTGGTGATGTATAGATGTGGGTCACATTAATGTGATCATCTAATTTCGTCTCTCCCTTTGTCAGGGATAAAGATGACTCCAGAGAGACTTGGGGATTGGTAGGATCACGTCATTAGTAAAGACAGGAATGGACTTTGCATTGTCTCTTACTCTAGTTCCTTTTCTACTGTGCCATGAAGTGCTGGAAGCTTTTCCTTCTCATATAGTAGGGAAAAGGGGGGAGAGGGTCAAGGAAGGCAGAGGAGGATGACAGAGGGGAGGGAAAAGGACCCTGACAGTACAGGAGGGAAGGGGGCCAAGGCTGATCATGCTGCTTCTCCTGGCTCACATATTCCTTTTTTTAAGTTAACTAATTAATTTACATTTAAATTCAATTAATTAACATATAATGTATTCTTGGTTTCAGAGGTAGACTTCAGTGATTCATCAGTCTTAAATAACATACCCAGTGCTCATTACAACACGTGTCCTCCTTAACGGTCCATCATCCAGTGACTCCATCCCTCCACCTCCCTCCCCTTCAGCAGCCCTCAGTTTGTTGCCTATGATTAAGAGTCTCTTATGGTTTGTCTCGCTCTCCGATTTTGTCTTGTTCTATTTTTTCCTCTCTTCCTATACTCTGGCACAAGAGGTAGAGCAGGAGGCTGAGAAAGCCATGTTGGAGTCACACTCAAGGAGGATTTCGATTTACCCAGATTCTGAATTATCAAAATCACCCAACTGGCCTCAGCATTTGGTATCCCCAGACCTTTCCCTTTTTCTAAATCAAATGGCATATACTTAAACATTTGCTAAGAGAGTAGATCTTGCAGTAAGTGTTCTTATCTCCCTCTCTCTCTCTCTCTCTCTCTCACACACACACACACACACACACCACAAAATAATAATAAAGAGAATAGGGAAGGGCTTTCAGTGGTGATGGATATATTATTTATGGCATACATTTTGGTGATCATTTCACAGGTATATATAATTTATCTCCAAACTTATCAAGTTGTATAATTAAATATGTATTGCTTTTTGTAAGTCAATTATACCTCAATAAAATATATTTTTTAATGAGACGGATTGACATTAGATGCCTCCTGATGTGATGCACTGAGAAGGATGCCATTATTAGGCATTTAGTACTCCTAACAAAACCGCATACCTTGAATTCAATCATGAGGAAACAATCAGATAAACCCAAAATGAGGAACATTGTAAAAAACAACTGGCCTGTATGTTCCAAAATGTCAGCACCGTAAAGGAAAGACTGAAAAATTCTTGCAGATTAAAGGATTAGTTTAGAAGCTATAAAGGCCTTTTTTTGTGGATAATTGGCAAAATTTGATTCTGGACTGTGCATTAGATAATAATATTATATCGGTGTTAAAGTTCCTAAATTGAAAGATGGTGCAGAGATCACATTAAAAAAAAAAAATGTCCTCAAATATCTAGGGATAAAGGGATGTAATATTCTAAGTTGCTCTCAAATGGTTCAACAATAAAGTTCTATATGCTAAGTTCTTTGCTAAAGCTTCTGGGGCACAGAGGTAGACTCAGCAACCTTGAAGTTCCCTCCAGCTCTAAATTTAAAAAAAAAAAAAATTTATTTGACAGACAGAGATCACAAGGAGGCAGAGAGGCAGGCAGAGAGAGAGAGAGAGGAGGAAGCAGGCTCCCCACCAAGCAGAGAGCCCGATGTGGGGCTTGATCCCAGGACCCTGGGATCATGACCTGAGCCGAAAGCAGAGGCCTTAACCCACTGAGCCACCCAGGTGCCCCCAGCTCTAAATTTTTGATTAGGTATTTCAGTGGGCAAGTGTAAACCAGTGGGTCTATTATTTAATAGACCTGAGGATGCAGAGAGGAAGAAGAAAATCTTACTCGTTTGAAACATTTTGAATAATCACACACTTATTCTTCTGTATCTCTTAATATGTTTTAGATTGTTTTAATCATGAAATTATTTCTCCAATTGTTTATTCCATCAGCAAGTATGAAAGACATGAGTGAGCATAACACCAAGAGAGGTTAGAAAAGCAGTTCCTGCCTTTGAGAACTTACAATTTAGTGAAGGAGAAAGAAAATGTTGAGTTAGGAAAGCCTAGGCTAAAGGTGAAATGTGAGTGTTACGAAATCCAGAGGCACACTAGAGGGAGCTTGCGTATGGGACTGAAAGAGAACTAGGAGTTAGACCAACAGGGAAGGGGTGGGCCCTCCAGAAAGAAGATTCAGATGGAAGGCAGAGATATATGAGCTGGACTCAGTCAGCCCCGTGTGTCCTGATCAGGAGAGAGGGGTCTGTAAAGACAATAAGGATTGGAGCACAGTCAATGCCAAATTAAGGAGTTCTGGTGAAATCCTATGGGTGACTGAGGACGTCTGAGCAAGGATATTTAGGCAGGGGTGTGGGGTGAAGGAGAGCGAGATGAAGTTACTAGTATAACTGTTGTTTGATCAATATAACGTCACATATTATGCAAAATATTAAAAAGTATAATTATATTGACACAAGTTGATCATAAAGAATTTTATAATAAAGACACTGTTTAACTCATTTATTTCTTGCCTTTGAAACAGGATGTTGAGTAAAACTTTTCCTTTGCCCCAAATTTGGTGATCAGGGCCCCCAACTCTAGTGCAAAGAGGATGAAGTATTTAACATTATAATGAAGCCACCAAATCAGTGGGGACTGTCACCTCCCTCAGAACCTAAGAGGGGGTGGAATCATGCCACCCCCACACAGCCAGCCCTTCTCAGGCGCTGATATGGGGAGGATCAGGGACAGTCACTTGAACCACGATTTGGCCTAGTGGGTAATGCAGGGGCTTTTCCCCCCTTCTTGGCTGCATGCTGCCTCCTCTTGAAGGCTTGAGGTGACTTCAAGAAGGAGGCTCTGGCATTCTGTTCCCTACTCAGCCTGAGCAGTTACAGACATGCGTATATAAGTAGAGGTGAAGAGAACGGGGAGGGGGCTTGCTGGGGAGCAGCTTGTACCCCTGGAAGGCATGTGCTTCCACGGCTGAGTGACCACTGCAGAGGACAATCCAACAGGCTGGGAAAGCCAAGAGAGGGGAGGGAAGTTGAGCTGGAGCCCAATCTCTCAGGTCATGCCCCAGAGTGTCCTTTAAACTCCTGTATACATGCCCTACAAGAAAGGGAGATGCTGGCCCCTGCCTCAAATGGCCTGATGGCCTAACAAAGTGGATAGTTAATAAAAGACATGTTTACCCTCTTTCACACCCCTATTTCCTGTTTCCAATACATTTGAGGGAATAGGCCTTGATGAGAAGGGGGAGAAGGTTTTTCAGAGCCTGGCCACACTCTTTCCCCCAAGCCCCTCATGGTGCTGGGGTGGGGGGCCAGTAAAAGCAAAGGGGGCCCTCTGCCAGATGCTGCTGCAGGCTTCTTGTACTAGAGAGAGAGGACACAATATCTTGAACTGGATACAAATTCTGAACCGGACAGATGTTTAATCATTGTTCCTTGTTCACTGAGGTATCCCCAGCACCCAGAATAACGCCTAGCACATAGTGGTACTTAATTAATACTCATTAAAAGTATGAGTGGATCGAAACAGAACTGAATGTTACTGAGATGCCTTTAAGAGAAAGAAGAGAGAGACTTGATAAAGAATTATTCCAAACAACGAGTGGGACAAAATAAAACCATTTTATGTTGATTCCCCCATTGAATATAGGCTGCTTACAAAATCTTGTTACTTCTTGTTTTTCTATAAAGGATTTTTAGCAGATTTAAATCAGGTGGCATTTCTTCGATGTTAAAGCAAAAACTTGCGTGGGGATCCAGTATTGTTATTTAACTGGCAAGAGAAAAAAAATGAGTAGCACGATCTTGAAAGGATAGATTAGCACAGTGGTTGAAAGCTCAGGCTCTGATGGGGAGTAGGTCCATATTCAAATTCTAGCAATTTGAATTGAATTCAGGCAAGTTAATTAACCTTTCTAAGCCTAGTTTCTTCTTTGGTGATATAAGACTAGTAACAATTCCTAATTCAGGGGATTAAATGAAATCAACACCAGTAAAGAATTTACCACATTGTCTGGGAAAATAAGTGTTCAATCAAATTAGCTATTTCACTTTAAAAAAAAAAAACAGATGGTGACCAGCATGGCAGAATGGAAGTAAAATAGCTTTTAGGGTCAGATCTAGCTCTATAACATACTGCTAGCTTATTAGCTTTTTGATTTGGAGGCAAGTTATATAATCAACAAACTGCAAATTATTTCTAGGAGATAATATGTATAATGCTCCTCTCACCATTGGCATATTGCTGGTATCTAACAACATTGTTTCTTCTCAAGAATGTTACACAGTATCATTTTAAAGAGATTGAGGACAGTTAGAAGATGGCTGAGTCAAGAAGAATCAGTGTAAGTCTTTGCTTTCCATGGATGCCTGTCATACAGAGAGGGAGCCAAGAAACTGTGGAACAGAGTCAAGCAGCAACAGGTGACAATGGGAAACATACTGTTAGGAACCAAACCACTAAAATGGAAGGGACTGACTTGGGGAAAAGGAGAGAGCTTACAAGAGTCTTAGTGTCACTCTCACCTATTAGCTCATTCACTCAAAAATTATTTGGGGCTCTTGATATGCCATTAGTGTGTCTCTAACCACACTGGGTGCACTTTCAAATGATTTCTCTTCGTTTCATTTTGGCAATGTTACAGCAGATGGATTTTCAATTATCCAGTGACTGAAATGAATACATTTCCTCCAGATGCTATTGTCTGTGGGGGTCATCTCTAGCGTCCTCTGGACAGACATCAGGAAGGGGGTGGGATGAGGGAAGTGCTGAGCAGATGGCTCAGGAAGAGTAGTGTGAGGGTAGGAGACAGAGGCTTGCATCTCAGGTGTGGACAGGAGGTGCAAAGTCTGTTCCCAGGCTGCTGTACAGACAATGCAGGGCCAGGAGGGCTAACCCAGTGGAGAACTAAGTGCTCTTATCAGAGTCCAGAAGGCTGCCAGAGTACCAGGAAAGCCAGAAATCTCTTTGTGTAATAAAAATGCTCAGAACATCTTCAGGATTGATACTGATCCATGAAATTTCTAGTTCCATAAGAGACCCAACCAATATTCCAGCAATAATCCTAAAGTAATAAATTTTGGGTTGCCAAACAAAAAGATTCACCTAGATCTCCTACTTGTAAACTTTGTTAACTACAAAATATAATCGAGACAAGGACTTCCCTCTTTGGGCCCTCTAGCAGTGAGCATCTGGGGTGCTGAATTTATTCTTCTTGCTAAGATATATAACTAGTTCTATTTAGCTCCATTCAGTAAGTATTTACTAAGTTTCTAGTATGTGCTTTAGCATTGTGCTGGGAGCTAACGGTGTTTTGAAAGAAGTATATGAAAGACTGCCTTTAAAGAAGATAATTTACAATGTAATTGTAAGGCAACACTTAACTGTTTAAAACATAAAGTTCTCAAGAGCATAATACAAGTAGAAATTAAACTCAATGTCAAAATGTTTGATAAAGACAGCCATGGCTAAGGAAAAAGATCAAGACGAGCCACAGTGGTCACAGAAGGATTCAGGTGTGAGATGGGACCTAAGCAGAGAAGGGTAGGCTTAGATAGGTGAAAAATAGTTCTCAGAGTTTTCCAGGCAGGATAATAGAGCAGTTATACAGGTGTATGTATGCACACTGTGTTTGAAGCTTTGGGATGAGTAGAATGGAAGAATGTCAGGCTTTTCTAAGCTTTAGTGTCTCCTTAGAAAAGGGTGTTACTAATAGCAATGCAAATATTGAGGGTGAGAGAGGGTGAGAAGGTTTTATGCATCTTGTGTTTAAGGAGCAGGTCATTTCTGTGAAATCCATCAGGTAACTGGAGACATGGGAAAGATAAAACCAGAGATACATAGATTTGGCCACTTTTAGAATTAAGATAATGGAAACAAAAGAATGGATGAGATCCCCGAAAGCATAACAAAAAGGAAAGAAAAAAGGACCCAAAAAAAAAGGACAAAAAAAAAAAAAAAAGAACGATAGAGAAAAGCTCTTAGTTAAAAGGGACAGGAAAGAATACAAACAATGAGGTGGTATGAAAATCAGGAATGTTGTGTTGAAGCCTGAGAGAAAATCAGGGGAACGGCCAAAATGATTTTGCCAGAGAGATCACTATCTATGATAAGAACAAGATTATAGACATTACTTTTTTTTTTCTTCAACGTTTTTATGTAGTGATTATTACTTTGCCTGGATAGAAAATAAAAGAATTTTTTTCATGAACCTTGTCACTAGATGGTGCTGGAGTTATTTAGGAAAGCAAACATGGGCTACAATGAGTAAAAGATCTTTTCCCCCCTTTGATGTGACAGTTCCATAGAACAACGATTACATTTTCTTTAATGTATAAACAGCTTTCAAAATCTTTCTGAGTAATTAGACATCTACTTATGTTTAACAAGATTTTTGAGTTAAATAAACTCTGAGACGTCAGCTGTCATGCTTTTAGCACAGTGAAGAGAAAGAAAGGAGCAGAACATTATAGCCTTCAGACCCCTGTTCTCACAGAATGAGGACAATTTCTAAGCACTGGGATTATAATCCTTGGATCACATCAATAGCGTTAAGACTCTTTATCTATATTCCTAGAGTTCCCCTTCAAACAGAAAGAACAGCATGTTTGCAAGATGAAAATACTTGAATTTTAATCAATTTTTATTTAATTCAGTTTAGTTATAATGTTGTACCGTGGTTTAATTTTAGAGGAAATTCAAATTTCTCATTCATGAATTGCATTCTGTTCAAACATGGTATCAACCAGATGAACATTCTGATTATCAAAAAGCGCATGATTTTACAAATATTGGCCCGATCATTGTACCATCGCCCTGAAGCTTGGGGGGTAAGGGGAAGTGATGGGAACCTGAAGGTTATCGTAACTCTTGTACCTTAAGTAATAAAGTCTTTGGTCTTTGACTCAAGGCTTTTGTGCCAACATCTATGAAACTGTGGCAAGAGAACTTGTTATCTTGCAGCTAGGCTAAATTTTAGATCCTTCAGTTCCTAGGAGTAGCTTAACATTCCCTATTGGGTCTGCTATGTGATATTCTGAGAATCTTTCCTGAAGGTCCACACTCAAATACACATCTGTCCTTTTATGACTTAATAAACACTAATTCCCTGTTTTAATTTTCTTGCTGCTTAAAATATTAGTTTCTATTTTCTGCCCTGAACCTCAGTGATAAATACTTTTTCACTATGCCAAATAAGACTTTCATTTTCAACCTTCAAACTGTTGTTATTGAGGAAGTTTTGGAGAAATGCAAATACTTACCATTTCATTATGATGTGGAAACGATATTTTTAATTGTGTCACTACTGTCACAGAATTCGATTGGAAGTGTGAAGACAAAAAAGGGTTCCTCATAAGAGATCAGAACAGTTTTCTACCTTCTATTTAGTGACTCAGTATGAACCAGCTACCCACCCTTTATTGTTCACTAGGAGAGATTTTCTTCCCCTTTTGACTTTGTACCTTATAGGGAGTGAGCTGAGAAGTTATATAAAGAAATCATTAAACCACCTACACTGAGCTCATCTGGTGTTATACAGCCTTGGCGAACGCAGAGTATTTTTTTTTTAAGATTTTATTTATTTATTTGATAAACAGAGATCACAAGTAGGCAGAAAAGCAGGCAGAGAGAGAGGAGGAAGCAGGCTCCCCGCTGAGCAGAGAGCCCGATGCGGGGCTCAATCCCAGGACCCTGGGATCACGACCTGAGCCAAAGGCAGAGGCAGAGGCTTTAACCCACTGAGCCACTCAGGCGCCCCGAACATAGAGTATTTTACAATACCTCAGCCGTTGTGAGAAAAATCTTATCCGTGATATGTCTCAGTCCACAAGCCACGACACCAAGAGCCACTCCAGGAAACACATAGGAATTGTTTCCTTGGCCAGGATACAGGGTCCGTCCATTTGGAAGAGTGACTGGATCAAAAGGACTGCCACTGGCAAAGATCCCACGCCCCTACAACACAGACACACAACTAATTTTAAAAAGAAGCGTGATATTTTAAAACGAAGGTATCATAACAGAACTACTCCATAGTTAAAGTGCTGAGTGCTTAAAAGAAGACTAATTTTCATTGACTCTCTAATAAGTCCGGGCAAGTTTTTATGATGTTTGCAGTAAGTTCTGGAGTGGGTGATTATTTCTGTTCTCTGTCTCACTCTCCTCAGAGAAGTGTGCAAAGCACAGGATACCCTGAGATCACCACTCTCTTCTCTGCAGGGGTCCAACTCATAAGCCTAGCAATCATTTCTATAGGGGCTTCAGATTATAGACTTCTGAGGATAAAAAAAAAATTGATAGGTTAACATTAGAGCATTGGGAATAATGACATTTTAGGTTAGAGTTTAAGGATCTACACATTTCAACATAATCACTGGGACAAATTTTATGTTTTCCTATGTTGTAAAGAATTATATAGAAAATCATGTAGGAACCAAACTCATTGGCACAAATGGAATAAGCAAATAAAAGGAAGGTTAGATTATCAATAATTGTCAAAAATTGTCATATTTTCTCTAATCAGCATATTTTGTCACACTGTTTTGGAGAAACCTCATGTATCACACACTCCAGATGGCAGTGACTTAGGGCTTTCCAGGTGCTGCAATTCCATGCTGCTAATCACAAAGGAAGAGGGGCATCTGGGTGGCCCCGTCAGTTAAACATCCAACTCTTGCTTTCAGCTCAGGTCATGATCTCAAGGTTGCGAGATCGAGCCCCATGATGGTCCTGCACTGGGTATGGAGTCTGCTTGGGATTCTCTCTGTCCCTCTCTCCTTCCCCACCACTCACGTATTCTCTCTCTCCCTCTCTCTCAAAAAAAGGAAGACACTGATCTGCAAAGATGAGGGTGGAAACATAGCTGAGAACAGTCAGACTTCTAAAGAAGGTATAAGAAACCCTTGACAAATAAAGTATCACAATCTAAGAAATCCATTTGAGAAGTCCACAGCACCAAATCCCCAAGACATCATCTAAATGATCACAGGCTGGGCTGTAACTTTCACCCCTATTTAGAGTCTAAATCCATTAAAATGTTAATAGTATTAATTTAATATTCATTTTAACAAAGACCATAATATACCTTTTGTATATAGGTAAACTTGTATGATTCAACCTTCATTAGGGTATAAAAAGATGAAAACATATAAGAAAGAAAACAAATTCTCATCTAGATGTTTGTAGAACACTTACATTTTAGAGAACATTAGGTTCTGTTTTCAGACAAGTCTGATAACTTTTGCTCTGTTTAGCAGATAAAATATTTTATTAAAAGAAACTCTAATATAACTTATTACTTGATATATAGATTATATATCTTCAAAAAATTGTATCTGAGAAAAAGACCTATAACATTATCTCTCTCCCTGCCTCCAGTGCCTGCCTACTCTTTTAGAATCATCATTTTAGGGAGGAACGACATTCAATAAATGACAGCTAAGCACTCTTATGTATGTGGATTGTTAATATGGGGAAGAAAATCTCTCTATACTATGTTGGATTATAGTTTTTCAGGATTCAATAATCTTTCTGTATTTTATATTTTTAACCTTTCCTGTGGTTAACCTCACCTCACCTGTGCCTGAATCTCTACTCGTCTTTGCTTGTGCCCTTTGGCTGAACCAGTATTTAAATTTTTAGCCTCAAAATGACTTTCAATTTTATTTCCTTTTTTTTAAAATAACATAGAACATTAAGTAAGAGGATAAGAAAGAGTTTAGACCCTTTATATTAGACACATTCAGATTTAAAACTACAATTATATAAATTTGGTTAATTGTGTTTGTGTCTATTACTGGTGAGTCTCCAAATTCTTCACACCTACTGAGATATACGGCAAAATCACTACATAAACACTTATTTATTATATGCCTACTATGTGCAATGCACCATGCTAAAATTTTATTGCCCAGAGGAATTTGTTTTCCCTTGTAAAGACTTAAGGACTACTGAGGTGATGCCCTGCAAATTCCCCAGTCTAGAGATGGGTTGAAAATTAAAATTACTGAGGAGACTGAATGCCATCTCAAATAAGAAAGATAAACAACAGAGTAGCTCCTTGCCAACAATTTCAATAATTCTAGTACTGAGCATTTAAGGTTATAATATTAAAGAAGCAGGGCCATCAAGTACTAATTTGTGCAGTGACTTAACTTTATGTCATGTTTACCTTCTCCAGTTCATTTTGGATTTATTTCCAAAATAAATGTGCTAGATATATATGACTCAACCACTATTTTGTGGTAATGACATTTTCAAGTCTTTAAAGGGAAGAAAGCTCTTGTCAACCTATCAGTCAAGTATATATCAATACAAACATAGTATAAAATAAGCTATTTTTTAAGAAACAGTGAAGTACTGAAGCTCTAAGGACTCCTATCGCAACCTGGCTGGATGTCAAAATGGCCGCCCAAACGTACAATCTATGGTGTCCAATTCAAACCCAGGATTTAGCAGAGCAAAAATAAGACTGTGGTTTTATACTGTATGCTTCAATGTTCAGAAATAGCTCGTTGAGAGTTATTTTCATAAGCATCTAGAATCAAACTTTTTCCTTTTTAGCTTTTGTACTTCAATCTTAGATACTTCCAAATCACTTGAGGAAAACTGTCAATAAACACTGCAAAGTTTATTTTGTTTTACCAAAGAGGAGGATTTGTACAACAACATTCTAGAAAAGGAAATAGCTCTTATCCATTCTGAGTTGTTCACTTTTATTTCAATCTTGGCTGTTTCATTTTTAAAGATTAAGTGGTAAGAAACTTAGATATCCTTGGCTCCCCTACAAGGAATAAGAATTAGGTTATTAAAATATCAGTCTGCACCAGCACTGGCGGAGCTGGGGGATGGGGAGGGGAGGGTAGAAATCAGTTATACTTTTGCTTTACCTTGGTTAGTTTATAGCACTGCTCTGCAGTACATTCTGCTTTGCTAGTTGGATTACTCAAAGCAAAAATAATAGGCCGTTCATTGAAGGCAGCCATATCTTTGAGAATCTGTTCTGAGAATGCACCACCAATTGCAGCAACTCCTAATGTAGAAAGGAGAAACCAGTGAATAGACTACCATTGGTTAATTAATCTAAGACGTCCCTGCCCTCAAAACAATGAGACATGTCAGGTCACTTTCTAATAGATCCTAAACAAAATACAGAATATTTACATTAAAGTGACAAAAAAGAGGTAAGTCTGTTCATGCCAATGATCTTTAGGGTTACAAATCTGTAAGTATCTATACGAAAAACCAGATATAATATTCAGTTCATAATACATTGAGTTAGTGATCCATTCACTAGGTATTTTGATTACAAACATTTATATTAGGAAATTAAAATGTGCCTAGTATATGTTATGTCTGTATGAACAATTCTATGAGTATATTCTAGTCTCTGAGGCTATAAAGTAATTATGCTTTATAAACCAGTGCTAACATTTAAGATAATCATTCAATTCAATTGTAAAATTTAAGTATTACTCAGTGAAAGGATCCTAACAGAAGAATAAAGCAATTAGCATAATAGAAATGGGAAAAAAAATTCCAAATATAGTATTTTATAAAAAATAGCAATAAAGGCTTATTACAGTTCCTGTTATAGAGTATTTGCTTTTATTATGATCAACATCATTATTCTCGATACTGTGACCTGTTTCACAAGAGCTTCTAGGAATGAAGTATGTTATGATACAAAGTAAAGACATAAGGCATAAAGTTTTATAACTATGGCTGAGTTTTTTAGCCACATTAAATTTGACTATATTAAAGATGTTATGTGCACATGCACTATGTAAGCTCCTGTGTTAAGTGCTATGAGGAATATAAATATGGTCCCTGTCTTCAAGGAGGGTCCAGTTGGATAATTCTTTGTTGGGGGGGGCAGGGCTTTCCTGTGTATTGTAGGATATTGAGCAGCACCCCCCAGTCTCTATCCGCTAGATGTCAGTAGCCCTGACCACCTTACCTTCAACTCCTCCAAAGTTGTGACAACCAAAAACATCTCCAGACAATGCCAAATGTTTCTTTGGGCACAAAAATCACTCCCATTTGAGAACCACTGTCTATCTGGAGTAATCAAGCCTGGTGAAGAGCTGATTATGCCAAGGATCAAGAGGTTGACCGAGTTAGCAGAGGGGGCCCCCACTTGGGCTGGAATTGGTAAGACTGAGAAGACAGTACATACTAAATTTACAAATCTAGGTGTCCCTGAGGTACTAATGATTCAGTGAATGTGTAATTGTGTTGGTAAATTCCAAATGTCAAAATATCAAAGAAGTTAAATTATACCTTAAAAATCAGTAGGAAAATGAATCAGGCCAAAATGGGGTCAGGGTGGGCTTTACTGCAATGAGGGAGAAGTTTACCTATGAGGGCAGTTGGTTTTATTTCTTGAACAATGGCTTCCAGGTTCTTCATTTCTTCATGTTCATGGGCAAATTCCTCCTTCTCTTGTGTTAGGGCAGCTCTTCCCTAAGTAAAGCAAATAAAAAGAAATGTTAAATCTGCCAAACATATGTGAGCCAAAGAAATGTCAGAATATTATACATATTACCGGTATTTGGGCTTATTAACATCTTCATGTACCATGTGTTATAGCTGCTCTTACACTCTCTTCTCCAATTATCAGAGTATTCTTTCATTCAGTTTTCAACAAATAGTGTGTCTCAGAAAATGTTTTCGGCCATGGGGATGTAACAGTGAAAAAACTTAAGTGTTTCCCTTTCTGGACTATTATTTAATATTAAAAATCTTAATTCTACAGACATTTGTGAGAAACCAGCAATGGTTTGTAACCATTTGTGCCCAAATGGTTTGTAACCAGTAACAAATGGCAATGTGCAATGTCATTTAAATATCATTTACTAAACATTACTTGTGTTAAATAACAGTCTCTTAGAATGCAGAGCTGGCTTCAGCCACAGTACTTCCAAATTGTGTACCATTGAGTAAAAATAGAACTTGATGCCGTATTTATACCATAGTTTGATTTTTCTGAACAAGAATTAGCTTTGCATATTTTTATCTTAATGTTTTGTTTACAAATGTGTCATGTATTATATCTAGGAAACATCTGGTTATAATTTTCTAGCTGCAAATTTTTAGGATTTTGACTTAAAATAATAAAGCCCCGCCTAATGTTACATGGAGCTTTAAGACTTACAAGTTGTTGTCATGTATTTCATATGACCCCCTCAACAATTTTAAGAAGCAGGGCAACTACAGGGCGCCTGGGTGGCTTGGTCAGTTGAGAGTCAGACTCTTGACTTTGGCTCAGGTCATGATCTCAGGGTCGTGAGATGGAGCACCTTCTGGGCTCCGCGCTCAGTGGGGAGTCTGCTTGGGATTCTTTCCCTTTGCCGCCGCCCCCACCCCAGCCCTGCCTCTGCCTTGCTTGCAGCCATGTGCACTCTCACTCTCTCTCTCTCAAATAAATAAATCTTGAAGGAAAAAAAAAAAGGAAGAAGTAGGGCAAGTAATTAGAGTCATTTTATATGAGGAGACAGAGGCTCTGAGATGTTAAGGGACTTGCCCAGGGCAGATGCTGAAACTCAGTCTTTCCAATAATACATATAGCACAGTATAGTCCTGGAGAAAAAGCTTTACAAATGGTATGTTTGTTTTGGTACATCTGTTCTTAAATGGATATGTCCGATTACTTATAAATTGTTACCCCTGAAGATGGTACAAATTTCTTGTTTTGAAAGGTTATGACCATTTTATTTCTGTTTTTAAAGATTTATTTATTTTAGAGAGAGAGTGTGTGTGTGAGCAGGGGGAGGGGCAGAGGGAAGAGGCAGAAAGAGAAGCAGACTCCCCACTGAGGGGCCCCCATACGGATCCCACACCCTGAGGATCATAACCTGAGCCGAAATGAAGAGCTGGATGCTTAACTAACTGAGCCCCCCAGATGCCCTTATTTCTGTTTTTTAAAATACACGTGGAGTCTGCTTGGGATTCTTTCCCACTTCTTCTCCCTCAACCTTTGCCCCTCCCCCTGCACATTCTCCCTCCCTACAATAAATAAATTTTTAGAATCTTAAAAAAAAAAGTACTTAGGATTATGCCAGGTTTTACTGTGTGTGTGTGTGTGTGTGTGTGTGTGCGTGTACCAGTTTTTAACAAGAGCTCAATGTTAGTTGCAGTCATAATTAAAATTATTGCGAAGATAATATTTTATTTTGTGTGTATGTCATTTTTTTTCTAATATATTCATTCATCTATTTATGGACACTTGGGTTGCTTCCTGTCTTGGCTACTGTAAATAACACTGCAGTGAACATGGGCATACAGGTATCTTTTCTAGTTAGTGTTAAGATTATTTTTCAGTGTCTCAGAAGAAAATGTTAGATAAATAACCTCTTAGAACTAAGAAATGACTAATGGTGATAACTATAAGAAATGTACCAAAGTTATAGCTGTTGGAATTATGACTTTTGTTCTTCTTCACAGTAATTTTAATCATTATGTTATATACCTGAAACTGACACAAAATGATACGTCAATTATATATCAATAAAAAAACTTACTTCATTCAGAACAAAATTTGAAGCTTACTGTTTCATATTCACTTGAGAGAACATTCTAGTCTCCAGTAATATTAAATTGAGTACAGTTAGGTCACATTCATTCATCTTGTTCATTAAGAAAAAGTCAAAAGCATCAAGTAAATTCAGTTTCCACTTTTATTAGGAAGCATCAAATTGTTCAGTAAAACCTATTATCATAGGCTTTTCAGAATTAGTCGTAGGTCCAACAACCAATAGGTTATGCAAACCTAGACTGATTTCATGAGTAAACACTAAATATTCTCAGTTTTTCTTTTGTACTTATGAGATGTGATTTTTTATTTTTTTTTATTTTTATTTTTTTATTTATTTGACAGAGAGATCATAGGCAGGCAGAGAGGCAGGCAGAGAGGAGGAAGCAAGCTCCCTGCTGAGCAGAGAGCCCGATGCGGAACTCGATCCCAGGACCCTGAGATCATGACCTGAGCCGAAGGCAGAGGCTTAACCCACTGAGCCACCCAGGCGCCCCAAGACGTGATTTTTTTTTTAAATTCCCTTTTAATAATATAAAGAAATGTATGACAGTACTGAAATCTTTACAACTCTCACCAAATTGCAGGGAGGGGCTACCTGGTGCTCTTATCCTCATCTCTCTTAGCTTCTCAGCCAGGAAATCTATTTCATTTACATATCTCAATTACAGAGATTAATTCAATATTATCCTAATATATAAACAAAGTCCAGGTTTAATGATAATTTATTAGTCACAAATAAAAAAAAAAAAAAACAGGCATTTGGGAGTACCTCAGAACTCCCTCCAAATATTTTGATAATTCAGACTTTGACTCAGGTCCCAATTCCTCATCATCCATTTCCTGTGTCAGTGTTCTTTGCACTGTAACTTGACAGTTCCTTCCACAAAAGGCAGTTATACTTTCCAAGCCCTGGTCTTTGGACTTGAATATGCAATTTCTTTGGTCAATAAAATGGATGCTGAAATGAGAGTGTGCCAATTCCAAGCTTAGGCCTTAAGAGTAATTGTTGTTTCTGCTTATTCTCTCATGCCTTTGCTATTTGTGCTTTAAAAGTATGTCACCTGGCTAGCTGTCTGGTTCATCGAGGATGAAAACCTTGTGAAAAAGACCTGCACCCAACATATGACTTAGAGCCACCCGGCCAACGTTATCAGAGCTACTCCACCTAGCCCTTAGGTATGTGAGAAATAAATCCTTATTGTTGCATGTCACTGAGATTTTGTGGCTTTTGATAACTCAGCAATAGCTGAGTGAGACAGGGGATAATTTTTTTGGATTCAGGGGATAGTTTTAACTTCAACTATACATTCCATCATTTTTTTTTACTCATTGTTCTTATCTGTTGTTTTGGGGATAAGAGGTTCCTTTTGCTGAAATGATTTAATTAAAGTAATGCTTTTACAATCTATCTGTACCTCAATGCTCTTATTACTGCTTACTTATTTGGCCAAGAAAATAATCTTGGGGGCACCCGGGTGGCTCAGTTGTTAGGCATCTGCCTTTGGTGCAGGTCCTGATCCCAGGGTCTTGGGATCCAGCCCTGCATCAGGCTCCTTTCACCGCAGGAAGCCTGCTTTCCCTCTCCCACTCCCCTTGCTTGTGTTCCTGCTCTCGTTATCTCTCTGTCAAATAAATGAATAAAATCTTTTAAAAAAAAATCTTGCATTATTGGAAAAGAAAGAAAAATTCTGGTCTTGGATAGGAATAAGAACTTGGAACCATTTGAGAGTTATAGTATTTAAACTAAATTATTTCTGAACTATTTCTGGAAATAGTATAAGCTAAAATTCATGACTATTTTTGTTCTCACAACAATGAAATTTCTAGGACAGATACTAAATGAAGTTGCAGCTTGGGGAGACATATTTCCGGGGAATAATAACTTTTAGCTTCCAGCATTCTAAACTAAACACAATGTGTTTTGGGTTATTGCTCTTTCCCAGAAATGCATATACTCAATTTCAAGTATAAAGGCAAGAACTTAGACTAACATCTACCCGAGGCTAAACATGGCAAATGCTATAGAACTCCACATTGTTTCTAGCATGGTTCCTGCACACCTGAGGCTAAAGGGCTAAATGAGATCTTGCAGCTAGAGCTTCTACTTTCAACACAGCGGTCACCAAGCTGAGGTACCTTCAAAGGACCTTGAGGGAGACATGCACATCATGAAGCAGTGGCCATATGGCTCTTCCCCAAGCCTGTGGTAGTGCTTGTTGGTTTTCAGCAAAAGCAGGAGTCTCTAGTGTTTAGCCCAACACCCACATTTGAGGCCCAAGTAATGGTGGTGGTAGCGGCCACCATATCTGGCAGGTTTCTTGTTTTGGCAGAGACTGATTCTCCAGCCTGCAGTTAACAGCAGTTTCCTCACTAATGCAGATACGCATTACAGCCATTCCTGAACTCAGAGCCCTGTGTCTACTTCTTCTTTAGTTTTCCTTAAAGATTTTACTGATTTACTTGAGAGAGAGAGCAAATGAGTGGGGGGCGAGGGGGAGGAGAAGCAGGCTTCCTGCTGAGCAGGAATCCCAACTTGAGGCTCAGTCCCAAGGTGCTGGGATCATGACCTGAGCTGAAAGCAGACACTTAATGGACTGAGCCACCCAGGCACCCCATGTGTCTACTTCTTCTAGGTTTAGAGATTTGTATTTCACAATGTTTTTATGGACAAGGGAACTTTAATGTGTGCTATGTTCTCTAACAGAAAAGGATCTCAGGATAATTATTCAAAGTACTCCAAACTGGCTAAAGTCACCTCAACACAATGTTATGTAATCTTCAGAGCTGCTGGGAAAATGCATAACTCGTAGAGAAGACAGTGTATCACAGGGTTTGCCTACTGGTCTTTTCTGTTTTCCACCTGACAAAATGTAAGCATTATGCAAATATAATTCAATAAATTTACTATAGTATCTGAAAATGTCATATT